GGATGGGTGCCAGGGCCGCGGCCGGGGTGGGATCGGTGCGGGGGCCGGGATGGGATTTGTGCCGAGGCCGGGGTGGGATCGGTGCCGGGGCCAGGATGGGATCGGTGCCGGGGCCGTGGTGGGATCGGTGCCGGGGCCGTGGTGAGATCGGTGCCGTTGCCGAGATGGGATCGGTGCCGAGGCCGGGGTGGGATAACACTGACCGTAGGGTCGTCACCGTCTTCCGAGTCACCGTAGCTGTCCCCGGAGGCGACGCAGGAACGGCGCGGCCGGGCCTGCCCCGCCGCCGCCTGTAGACCACAGGTCAGTTGGGTCACACGCCGGGACCAGCGATCAACGGGGTCACACGCCGGGACCAGCCGTCAACAGTCAAAGGGAACCAGCAACCAGCATGGTCACGACAGGACCAGCAGTCAGCAGTCCAGCACAGTCACGACAGGACCAGCAGTCAGCAGTCATGATGCCAACAGCCAGTAATCTCAGAGGGACCTATGACCAGTAGGATCATCCGGGAACCAGTGGTCAGCAAGGTCACGGGGGACCAACGACGAGCAGTCACAGGCCGAGGGAGGGGGGGGGGGGGGGTAGCAACCAGCGTCGTCACAGGAGGGCAACAGGTCAGGATGGGGAACAGTTCACAACTACTAGTATGAGAGTCAGGTCATGAGGTCCTAGACAAATACCACAGGAATGAATGGTGCACCCCTCTGTCAGAACTGTGGTACCAACATCTTATATCGCTACATGATACAAGGCAGCGAGATAGTGTGAACACTGGACACGCACATTTAAGTCAGGTACTGCTTCGGCGTCAGAGGGCTGGCTGCTTTTCCTTGGAATTGTCTTTCTTGGTCTTCTGCACTTCAGTTTATCTGAAACAGTGGCATTATGATTACACTAACAATTGACGAAGGCATTATGAAAACGATTACACTCGTTATCACGAGAAAGCAAAATACAATTACTCTGGCATGGGAATGGCATAGGAAGAATCAAAGTCACCTGACTTATCTGGCCATGGAGAGAAAAAAATGCAGCTCTATAAGTAACATCAGGTAGCCGCAGAGAATTTCCCTTACACCGACACCAGCCCGCGAGGTCCCACTTCCACGAGCTCCTCCCAGCCGTCTCACCTGCGGCGCCCAGCTGGCCGGCCTCGGCACCACAACGCGCCGCCAGCGTGGCCGTCACCATGGCGACCAGCTGCTGCGTCATGTCGGCCAACCGGCTCTCGTAGATGACGATGTCGTTGACGAGCGCGGCGCAGCGCGGGCAAACGAGGTCGCCGGGGGCGCGTGCGTCGGGCCAGCCGGCCGGCGCCGCCGCCGCGCGCACCTTGGCCAGGTAGGTGACGTCTGGCCGCGCCGGGCACGCGGCGTGCACGTCCTGACACGTGGCCAGCTCCGGCCCAGCCAGAATGCGGTCACAGACCAGACAGCGCGGCGCGCGCGTGCGCGCCAGCGGCGGCGGCGATGGCGGTGGCCCCATGAGTGAGGCTGACTCCGAGCTGTCTACGGCTGCCATCTCAGATGGTGCCGCCAGGCAGCAGGAGTAGTGAAGGTGCCGGATAGGAGCAGAAGGGCTCAGCTTGGGCTTGCCTGGCAGCTGGGGCGTGACCTGAAGACACAAAATAGCATGATTACTGCCTGCATAACAAAAGCCATGGATGTTCAATATAAATTTCTACTGAAGTACTATGGCAGATTAAGAGATAATAGTGATAACACATTATCAATTTCTCAGTTTCATGGAGACTGCTTGCATCATGCAGCTTCAGCAAACACATATCCTAAAGTTGAGTGTTAGGGGCTAAAACCATTATTATTTACCAACTGGCCTGAAGCGAGAATTCTTATCTTGGTTGGGTTCAGGGGTACATGCAGAATTTTGCTAAGAAGGGGCAACTTTATTCCACAAAAGTAGTCCCAGTTGTCTATAGCAGCTTGCTGCAGCCAAAAATGCAAGACTGTGTCCAAAATCCCTACATTTAGCAGCCTTAAATAATCCAGGGATGGCATTTACTGTGACCTTACTCTCTATGTTTTTTGCTCATAAGGTCAGCAGCAAAACTAAAAAATAACAGAATAAATACTTCCATAATGCCCATTCTTTTCATGTGAAGCCCCATACTTCACATTGCTTCCATCACAAAAGTTGTATTTTCCCGAGAAAATCACTGCAACAAGATTGCCATCTTTGATCCAAAAACAGAATATAATATAATCTGATCTCATAATCCAAAAGCCCCAGGTTAAGGAAGATGCCAAAGGTCAGTTTGAGCTCACCCCCCTCCTGATGTAAGATTAGGCTAGGCTGCAACATCAAAGTTCAGCAAAGCTGGGATAAGGTTGGGGAACATGATGTTTCATGTCAGCCACATTTACAACATCATCTAGGTGGGCATGACAGGTGAGCCAAGATAGACCTATTCAGTGAAACAACAAAAGTTAAGTGGCTTGAGAATCTCTTGCCACAGCACATGTATGTATATGCTGACAGAGATACGAAGCAGTTTGCCACTAGTGCATGTACCAAATACTCTGCAAAGCGTAAGGGAAGGTAGCGAGAAGGAAATGAGAACTCGGGGCACCCAACTGGCATTCCCAAACTGATGATTTGAAGCTGTCAAAAATGCATTTACAGTCGTCCGAATTGGACCCCTAAAGATCCGGCAGATGTTTATACACTAATCGCTTATCTAACTGCTCGTTCTGCACCTGCAAAATTCAAACGACAGGAAATTAGGGCTCGAAATCACACCGTGCACCACACCACACTCACCTCACGCTTTCCAAAACACGACACGCCTCCGCACAAAGAAATACGGTACAAATTCAAGCACTCCCACCGTCCTCTAAATGCAATATGGCAGCTTTCGAAAAGGATATATGACGTCAGGGAACAAAATAAGTTTCGTTTGCTCCATTGGACGATCCAACAATCCTCCCATGCTAATATGCGGACGCAGGGCGCGCGGGGCAGCGGCTCGATCCATTTTGGTATGCTGTTAACCCTATCGTAGGCGCGCTAAGAAATAATCCACGAAGGGGTTCTGGATGCTGTGGTTTCCGGATCAAGTAGCGTATCTCAGTCTACTGTGCTCGTGCGGTTCCAACCGGGTGGCCTTCTGGTTTCGACTTTTTTCTTATTTGGTGGAAGCCTCACTGCGCATCACTCTGAGCCTCGGTCCCGTTGGCTACGACTGCACGGGTGTGACAAAGCGAGTGAGGTGGTTTGAGAGAACTGCAAAGAGAAGGGTGATACTCGGGAGCTGTATTTCACCAGATGTTCCAGTTGGGCAAACGTAATTGTCAGTCTTCTAGAAAATCCTGAGCCAAGAAATGCTACAGACATTTATGTTTCAAAGTTAGCGAGACTTCCTGCATACCATTATCAATCTCTGACTAGGTCAAAATACATCGACCCACGCCCACGTACCTAATATTCTCCCCCATGAATGTCCTGGTAAACAAATCAGGCACATGGCATGAAAAAACGCACATATAAGGCGAATGTAAAACAGTATCCTCGCACCTTACATTATACAAAAAGCTGCAGCAAGCAAAGCAGCCACACGCCGAATCACTCCAACGGCAAAACAGATCTGGCCTACTGCACGGGGCAGCTGCAGAGCAAAGCCGGGGTCTCCGCCCACGGGCGCGACGGCCCTCAGGGTACAGCCAGGTGGGGGCGTCAGTCGCCATCGGGGGGCACGCGCTCGAACCGCAGCACGGAGAGGTGCTCGGGCCCGGCGCGCCGGCTCAGCACCAGCGTCATGCCGAAGCCGAGCCGGCGCATGACGCGCTCCAGGTCGTCCACGTCGTTCTCGCGGATGGCCACCAGGTAGAAGAGGCCGCCGGGCGCCAACAGGTGCGGCAGCTGCGGCAGCAGGCGGTCGGTGACCTCGCGGCCGCGCCGGCCGCCGGCCCAGCTGGCCGCCAGCTGGCCGCTACTGCACACCTCCTCCGTGTCGGTGACCACGTACGGCGGGTTGAAGAGCAGCAGGTCAAGCCGGCCGGCCAGCCGCGGCTCCAGCGCCGCCGCCAGGTCGCAGCGCACCGGCAGCACGGTGACGCCGCTGCGGCGCGCCGTGCGCCAGGTGGCGCGGCAGGCGCTCGCGCTCAGGTCGGAGCCGAAGCAGAGGCAGGTGGGCAGCGCGGCGGCCAGCGCCGTCACCACCACGCCCGAGCCGCAGCCCAGCTCGAGCGCCACCTGCGGCCCGCGCGCGCGCAGCCACGCCAGGTCGGCCTCCAGCGCGTCCAGCAGCAGGAAGCTGTCCTCGGCCGGCTCGTACACGCGGTCGTAGTCGGCGGCCGTCAGGTGCGACATGTCGGGTGTCTGCATGGTGAGGCTCACTGCGGTGCTGCTGCCGCCGGCGGCGGAGGGGCAGCCGCCTTCTGACGCGCAACCTGGCTGCGTATCCGGGCCAGTCGGTCCTGACAGATGGACAGATGGCTTATTGGACGTTCGGTTATCGTCATTGGGTGGTCAGAGTGAAGGGATTATGTGTTCTTCTCAGCTGTGTATTAACAATGTGCATCATCATTATATAAAATTGTTCACCACAGTTCAGCAAGAGCCAAGCCATTTATGACTTGAAGGTTTGCCTGCATTCATTCATAACGCACACATGGGAAGTTAACAAGGTAGTCTAGTGAAGCAGATCAACTTGGAAACACATTTGACCTGGTTGTCAAATCCCAGTGCACTGACCTGGGAAGCGGTGCGCGCACTCCGCCGGGGTCCAGGCTCACCTGAACGGACTGCAGGGTGCTGTTGGTCACAGCCACGCGTCGCTTGACACTGTGCAGACGCTTCACGTGCTCCTCGATGTCTACCGGAGATGGCGCCACAGACGCCAGCTTTGCAAAGTCTTCGGCGATCGACTCAAGCAGTGCGGCCAAAGCCTCCTGGCTGTCTCTGTGGGTGTAAATGGACATGCTTAGGACTGGTATGCTGATGGCTGCAAGGTGCTTGGCTGGCCAGTGCATACTCAACACAAGCACATATATCATAGGAATGGGGCAAATAACTGTTCTGGTATGCAGCCTTCTATGAGATGCTAAAGTGGACTTACTGAAATGGACAACAAATACAAACTAAAATAATTGATCAATAATTAAGCTGCAGGAATACCATTGACAACAATTTTAATGCACTGTGAAACAAGCAATACAAAAAGATGGTCAACACTCTGAAAAGCTCACATCAAACTTACTGTGTTTCTTTAACTCCAGTGTCTATCCTATCAATTACTGGCTTCAGTGAGTTTAGGAATCCCTCTGATAGGGCATCAGTGGTGGGATTTTCACCAAAGTCAGTTCTGTCTTCCACAGAGGTGTTGGAGCTGGCAGTGTCATCCATGACACCCAGCACACATGCCCTGCCTTGGTTGTCTTCAGTTCCCCTGGCTCACTCTGAAATTATAGCTTAATATTACATTCAATAAGTTGCAGCACTAAAAATATGACAGATATGATGCCACAGGCCAGCAAAGTGAAAGCAAAAAGGTTGAGACCATGTGGTGGCCAAATCATGATTAGAGCTCATATGACCATTAACTTCTTCTGCAGGACAATTTTTGGCTTCTGCTTGCATTAGGATGTGGAAATGTGGATGTATCATAGTGAACCAGCTGGCTACAAGGGTTTAAAACAAGACAACTAGCATATCATTGTCATTTCATTGATAACAGGTTATCAAAAAGCACAGGAATTCAGTCCCCCACATGATTGTAAAAGGTCAGACAACACTAAACAAAATGAAAGACTGGTAATCATAATGAAACATATTTGAATCTATGGATCCTCCTTTTTGCAGTGACAAATCACCATAAACACTAGTGCAGGTGATAACAGGTCAAAAATCTTGCCAGGATCACAATGGGGAAAACTTAGGAATAATATGCATCCTGGAACAGCACTGTGAAATCCTGTGCAAATTACTTACATGGCACAGCCTGTAACAGTGCCCTGAATTAGCAAACAATCCTGTTTTTACGCAGTAAGTATGCAAAAGCTGCTCAAACAGCATCAACCTGCTACCCTTTAACCAACATAGGGCAGGACATAAGCCACCCCTGTACCTCATCACCACCCCTTCCATGTTTTAAAAGCCAGGTGACTGTCATGGGTAATGCTGATAAATATATTACAGCATTGACCTGAATCCATATCTGGTTCAAGATATTCCAAGTCATGCAACTTCTGTATATTGGACTGCTTTTGTTTCTCAGAAGTAGAATAAACCATCAACTGATTTATATCATCAAAAATGTTGATGGATCACCATTACATTAATGGATTAGGCATTTAAATTTAGCGCTTTGCAGTCCCTGGCAGCTTTACATAAGGTCTTATCATAACTTAAGCAGGGCACAGCTTACTAGCCTATTTCGGTTAGCACTCTGCCTGCCCCAAACACACTCTTAGCGTGTTTGCCACGATTTGCAAACTAGTTGATTTGCAAAGCAGGCGGGAATTTGGCATCCGCATTTGCAAAGCCATACCTATTAAAACACACTCTTTGCCCTGGGCCAACCATACAAATGCTCTATACATCTCTTCTTTTTAACATAATCCAGTATTTGTAGTACCGATATATGCAAGCACCCCCGCACACACACCCACACCCACAATCGTTACCTAATGGCGATGACAAGCCAAACCCGCGCCGCTGTATTAGCGACTACGGCGCAGAGGTGCGCCGTGATGCAAAGCTTGTCAGTACATCAGCTGATCGTACCAGATGACGCAAAAATTTTACTAGGCTTACATCCAAATTCTACTAGATTGTACTAAGTGGTTTTCCCCGGAGCTTATTATTCGAAAAACACCCGAAAAATATTTTGCTCTGTTATGTTTCAAAGCTTTTTACAATGAGCCCATGCCCAAGCCAGCACTGGAGCATTCGTATTTTCGGAGCCACTCGTTCCGCGGCGCGCACGGTTTGCTCCACAGCTCAGTTCCTCGTACGTACGTCTCGTCGCGATGGAGGAAACACCGGACGAAACGAGCGGCTCTTTACTGTTGTAAATCGCTGCTGCGCACTCATCTTCCATGTGCCCTTGTTGATTCATTGATGTCGGGGTCGGAGAGGCAAGCGGGGGTGCAATTTACCAGTGGGCTTATCCGGAGGAAAATTTATTTGCTGGTGCCCCCCCCCCTCCCCATTTCATGTTGCAAACCTACGCCCCCGGTCGCAACGCTTCTCCCTAGGCCACTCAACGAAACCAGAAAGATATCAGAGTGATAGATGAGGGCAGCTAACTGGTCATAGACAGTTCATCAGCTGGTTGGTGATGGCGCAATCGCCGGGGTAGCTCGAGCGTGGCATACACGGCTGCTCCATCTTGTTGTAATCGATGCTATTGATCAGTCGCTCGTCTCCTCACTTTCAACCACAGTTGGTCTTAAAACAGCTGTAGATGGGTATCGCCGGGCACGGAATTGATTTCGGATGAACCGGAATGTCGGCATTTGACTCTCCACGGTCTTCCCTGCAAGGACAGCCCAACACATGAATCCTACCACCCCCGGTTCGGCATCTCAGCTCAACAACAGAGTTGTGTGGGCCCCAATATGTTCTATTCCGATTGTTCCACGGAACCACTTAAACTCAGCACGCCCAGTGCCACTGAAACTTATTGTTGCTAAGTGCACTTATCTGTTGCTGGAAACTGCACGAGACTGCGATCAGTTGTTAAGGTGTTGACGGAGCTTGAAAGCGTGATGGACGGCTGCTCAGCCTTACAATCCTTTCACTGTTGAAGCAAGCCTCGCTTGGTCTGCGATTGTCGCACGCAAGAGCAAGAACAAAATTCTCGCCAACATAATGTATGCTGTGAAGGTATTTTTAGTGCATCAAGAGGTTCACATATAAGATATAATGCTGGCACCAACTGCAGTCGATTGAATGCCGAGCACGTGACGCGTTTCCCGAGGAATACAGTCTAATTTATTTGAACAGGACAAAAGACATTATTCGTAACTCTGACATGGGTCAAAGGCTAAATGTTTAGTTGATCAAGTTTGAAGAGTGATTGGCTGACACATTTAGAGGAATGGGTTGTTGAGCTATCCGCATCTCAATAGGCGTAGTCGCTGATCACAATCCATACCCAATGGACCAATTTTATTCCCAACCCGATCCAGTCTAATCCATTTGAGGACTGCTCTGCTTCAGCATGGTACACTTCGACATATCACACTTAAGATCGGTTTCAAGAAAAAATAAAACATGCATCGTACACTGGCAGCATTGGCTCCACTCAAACCAGCGCGCGCTCTTCTACTCTAAGTCTGCGCTTATAAATTTGAATTCATCCATGCCTGAGAAAAAATCCAGCGTTACCGCATATAGCTTGCAATCGTCCCGATCAAGTCCAGACCAATCTAGGTATTGATCCCAAGTCCATGTATTTCCGCCATCCGTTGACAGCTCTTTTGTGCAGATGGAGGAGCTCACGACAAAACGAATGGCTGCATGCAGCATGTTTTACAGGACGACCACACAGACGTGAGAATGGCATGACCAATCGAAAAAGGACGCTCAAAAAATGAGCGGGAAGACTCGATTAATTACGGAGAAGATTGCTTCGAGCTTCGAGCGGGTGAGGAGCCCCGGCGCGCATCGCTGCCCACGACTTACTGGCTACCGTGGCCGGCCGAGGAGTGTGGGGAGCACCAGGAAATCTACCTAAAAGTTCGACGGACGTCAGATATGTCCAAGGAGTCAGGGACGTGCCTCCGAGAGAAAAACCCCCAAGATTGACTCGCTTGACTACGCTTTAGCTAAAAAATAATGAGATAGTTAAGAGGGGAGATCATTATATATATATATATATATATATATATATATATATATATATATATATATGTGTGTGTGTGTATTCACATAATACAAGTATATAATAAAACTTCAGCATCCAATCCCAAATAATTTGGCATCTATCTTGCCGAGTTATCATGTATATACCCCGCCCAGGGTCCGTCTGTCTGTCCGTCTGTCTGTTCTATTTTGTGCTGCGTCGTGCCCGGGGCTGAACAACGGGTCGCTGAATGGTAAGATTTGGATGCGACGCGCGGACACACGAGGAGGGTTGCCACCGGAAACTCGCGAGACGCTGCCGTCCGAGTTTCGGGCGTGGCACTTTCCAGAAGCACCGATTTGACTCCATTGGTTTTGCACGGGTGACCTCAAAATATGACCCACGGCAAAGCTTACGAGCGGCTGTTCGAAGCCGGGGCCATATGTCGGTAACAAGGGGTCGGAGAGACATAAAATTCCACTCATCCCGGCGTGCAGTTGGGCGGGGAATCGCCTTGTGTAATGTTTCCGATTGCACGAGCTGCGTGCCATGTACAGAAAAGCGGTGAAGATTGATTTTCGCTTTCAAAAAATTGTCTTCGTTTTGTGCCACGATTTGGCAGCCATAGCGGATTGAGGTGCGAGTGCAATTTCAAAGCGTTGATCGGCGTGTGAGCAATACGAGCTTGTGTGACGCACGACAGCCGCGCCAGCAATTGTTGGGCGCGCCGGGAATGTCTTAATTTAGAAAAAGCAGCCCCCAATGTAACAGGTTGGCGTCGAAGTTGGTAACAAAGTTGTGTGGAAATTTACATAATCGCATGCACTTTTCATTGCTTACATTTTTGCTTGCAAGCTTTGCATTGCTTTTTTGTTTCGCATTGCTTTTGCTTGCTTGCATGCTTGCACTTTGGCGAGCGGCCCACCCGTCTCGTCGGTTTGTACAACCATACCATATCCTCGACTTGATAGGCATACTGACGAGCGCCCTGCGCTTGCCTTTCTCGTCGTTTCCGGGCCACACGCACGATATTATCTTGCACTCGGCACTGAGCTTGACGGAGGGATTCCATCATCTCTTACACGTGCTCCGTCTTGTCACAAGTCGATTGTCCATCACCATGCACAATCTGAACGGGTAGTCTGGCTTGCCGTCCGTAGAACAGGAAGAATGACGGCTCTCTTGTGGTTTCGTTGACGCTTGTGCGATAAGCGAACATAACGAACGGTAGGTGCCTATCCCAGTCTCGCTGATCTTCACGGACATATATCGACAGCATGGCGCACAGGGTGTGGTTGATTCTTTCAGCTAATCCGTTGTCTTGTGCATGGTACGGAGTTGTTCGGGTCTTCTTTATGTTCAGCCTCCTGCAGATCTCCTGGATTACCGTCGCTTCAAAATTTCTTCCATAATCCGAGTGGATCACCTCGGGACATCCGTGGCGACATATAAGCTCTTCCACAAAGATCTTGGCCACGGTGACAGCTGTCTGGTCAGGAAGTGCGAAAGCTTCTGTCCACTTCGAAAACCCGCACGTCACAACCAGCACGTAGCGGTTCCCTCCTTTTGTTCTGGAAAAGGACCCGTTATATCCATTGCAACCCACTGCCACGGACGGTCCGGCACAGGCGTCTCCCCCAAAAAGGCTCTGCCTGGAGCAGGGAGAGTTTTTTTCTTCGCGCAAAATTTGCGTGTTTGGGCCCATGCGCTGACATCCTGAAACGATGAGCTCCAATACAATCTAGCTCTGATTTTTTTCTAGCGTCTTCGTCACCCCAAGATGACCCGCAGAAGAACCGTCGTGACACCTCGCGAGCACATCTTCCACTTGTGCCTTCCGCACAACCACCTGCCGGTGCTCAGCGCCGTTCGGGACGAGCACACGGATCAGCGGTCCCTGGTCATCTATCCGCAATCTGTCCTGTTGAGACATGTAGTGCTTCACCACTGGTGATGCAGACGCAGGACATGGACGCCTCCTTCCATTCAGTTTAATGACCTCCGCCAGGTCCGGTCTTCTTGTTGGGGAAATCTTACTTCAAAGTCACTATCAAGCGTCGTCGCCCGCACCTCTATCGCGCATTGTCCTTGGCCGTCATCTACAGGGCCGCGGGACGGGGCATCTGCATGCGGAAGGCTGGATGCTGGCCGGTACTGGGGCTCATAGTCCAGCGCCTCCAACTCCAGAATCCACCGCGCCAGCTTGCCCTGGGACCTTTGCTCTGTCGGATATGAACCAAAGGATTGTGTTCAGTCCGCAGTATGAAGTGCTGCCCATGCAGATGTACCCGGAACCGACGAATAGCCCAAACGAGAGCGAGACACTCCCGCTCGGTTGCAGAGTATCTCCTCTCTGGCCTTAGTCAGACTGCGACTAACATATGCCACAACACGCTCCCTACCATTTTCCTCTTGAGTCAGCACCGCTCCCAGGCCTACAGCGCTGTCAACATGAACGGCTCCCGGAAGTTCGGGTAGCACAACACCGGAGCAGAGATGAGCTATTCTTTCATCATGGCAAAAGCCGCAGCGCACTCTTCTGTGCATCTGAAGCAACAGGCACCCTCTAGAAGTCGATGCAGAGGTCTTGCCAGGTGGGCAAACCGTGGAATAAAGCGTCGGAAGTACGAGGCTAATCCCAGGAACTCACGCACCCCCGTAATGGACGATGGGGTTGGAAAGTGCTGCACTGCAAACACTTTTGAAGGATCAGGGGACACACCTTTCCCACTGACTACATGCCCGAGGAACTGAACCTGCTTTCGAAACAACCTACGCTTCCCC